TAGATAGATAGATAGATAGATAGATAGATAGATAGATAGATAGATAGATAGATAGATAGATAGATAGATAGATAGATAGATAGATAGATCTAGATTTAATATACAGTGTTATTTTTTTAACAACTTATATTTTTTCCAGTAAGATATAACTTCAGTCTTGTTGACGCATTCATATTCCAGATATACACTTAATAGTGCTGTTTTTGTTATATCTCTAACTGACTGTTCTCACCTAGAATTCGAGTGCCTACAGTCGCCAATATGATACTAATTCAATAAAAATAAGATTATGAAAGTTACTAAAAAGAAGTGCTATAGGGTAAGTAAAGCATGTAAGCAAACTACAAAGAAAGAATGAAAGAAGCTATCCAAAAAAAATTATGTTTTTATGTATATATATGCACAATTACTTTTTATACAGAGTTTTGCGGTTGCTGTAACTGGATAATGATACGCAACCGGTAATTATTGACGTTTAGATAAAAAAAAATAATAATAAAAAATGTGTCATTAGCGCCACCTGGTGGAACTACTGTGGCATAGTACTGAAATTGTAGTTATATGAAAATTTTGTTCTTACTTTAATTTTATTAAAAATCAATCAACTATTGACTCTATCTATCTATAGCATAACAGTTCATTCCATGATTTCTGTTAAAAAGATTTAAACTATAAAAATCAACAGTAGACACGTGTGAAATCTCTTTAATGGCAATAAACATGATATGGTTACACAAATGACTTGTTTTCAGTAAAGTTATAAGAGGAAAATCAAATTATGATAAAAATAACTATTTACAAGTATTTATATATTGTTTTGCATCAGGGCAGTGGTTATGACTAAGAAAATAAAGCGATACTCTTTCCTGTCAGATGTGATTTAACAAAAAATAAAAAAACAAAGCATAAAACAGATAAAATATTTTTTTACTTGACTTAGAAAAAAAAAAAAGAAAAGAAAACACACACTGTTGCACCCTTATCCCAACTATTGCAAAAATGCTGCCTTGTTTCCCTTTCCAGAACAAACAAATTTTTTCACTCTGTCTCAAACTTCACCGTGTTTAAACAAGACTGGCCAACACTAACTCATGCATAACAGAAGTGGAAGGAAAATTATATCTTCTTCAAACAAAAATGCGTCAAGCATAAAATAGTGTATGGCTACCTGCAGACCTACCAAAGACATGGATGTTTAAAAGAGCATTAATTATTTCAGAGGAAGCTTATCGGGGGTTGAAAAGAAATTCATACCATACTTTTCAGACATATCTGAAAAATAAATATCGAAAACATTATCATTTTCCTTCTACTTCTTAACAATGCACCATCTTGTGTTGATCTATCATTTTAAACCCCAAATAAAATTCACCTGAAGGTATAGTGGATTATGTTCTTTTTCTGGGTGGATCATCAAGGAAGTTTCTCTCCTAAATGTCAATCATTCTTGTGATATGTTTACGTAAGGCGATCCGATGTGCTCGTCCCCATTTTAACTGATGGAAAAATTGCAATTATTTTGGAAAGTAAGCTTGTATGAGCGATGCAAACAGCAACTTAGAGTGTGCGCAAGGAGAAATGGGTTTGTGCATGCTCTCGCACACGTTTAATGGGCGTTCCCTCTATGGAGCAGGTACAAGGTTGTTCGTGTGTATTTTTTTTTTTTATAAAGTAAAATGGTTTTTCCAAAAATTTGCTAAAATCCACCACTATACCTTTAAGTCAAGCTTTAAATTCATACAATGAAAAAAAGGGTTCAAGGCGGGTGAATATTATTGCCAGGCATTGTACTCTGTAGAGCACCAACCTTTTAACCCTTAAAATGCTCCCAAATTCAGAATTACGTGTTATGATAGATGTTAGATCTTTTCTTAAATTTATTTGACTTCTTTCAACAATATAAAATAATAAACAAGAGGAGGATGCAGACTGAAAAAAAGTGCACATCTTTTGTTAAAGTAATAGAACCAACACAGCTAATGAACTGACAAAAATTTTAACCAAGTAGTAATCAGAACTTTTTGTATGAAATAATGCACCATTAGAGAAACGTGTAACTAAAAACAGATTGAAAGAACAAAGATTGCTTTCTTTCTACATTTTAGAACGAATATTTTACACTTACAAACATGCCCCTACGTATGTAGCATGGCACTAATATTATTTGTTTTTATCTTGTGCTGAATCTATCTTTGACCCTGACATTAAAGCAGAGAATATTTTCCAAACATGTTGGCGGAAATATTTCTGCTTGTCTAATGCACACAAACACACACCTCCATAATGTCAGTATCAAATGTAACTACTCTGTTCTAAAAAAAACTGAATTATAAGGTGTATTTTACTATAGTGTTTCATCTCCCTTTTTTTAAAAACAGGATGCTTAAAAGACACATCATGTCATGGAGGTTGGCAGTGGAGAAACATACCTCGCCAGTCTACATGTACAGTTCTGTGCTTTCACAAAAGGTCTGTGTTTCTTCAGAATCTGTGAGTCTTGCGTGGGTAGAATCCTAAGAGGTAAAGAAATTGAGATGTTTCCCTAAATAACACCTGGCAGATACACACACTGCTGTGCAGGCTGGAAATGGAAGTAAAGTAACTAGCTTGGCGAGGACTAAAACAGGCCCATCAGACTATATACAGACTACAGATACATTTTAATGTTCTCAGCAAGTCTCAGGAAGAAGAACAGCTTCACTGTAGATCATTTCTTCACAGGACAGTTGGTGGTGTCATTTTCTGGTTTTCCTCTAATTTGATCCTTGTGTTCTGGAAAGCCAAGGATTTAGGCCTCATAAACCCTGTGAAGAAAAGTGAGGAGGGTTAATATGGTCCGGTCAACTTTGACTTCTGGTAGCTCTACATGGTACTTCTTGCAGTTTCAGTTTGTACAGAAAAGTCTTTAAAAAGTAAGGTTCATCTGTAGCTACAGCTTGAACATCCACACATAAACTACAGAGGACCATAGAATTAGGAACACACAGTAGAAGGTCTAGCAAAGGCCCTTCCTCAGATAATTCATTTTCAATATCTCAAATAATTTCTGGACCAAGGAGGACATGTGAGTCATTTAATTTCATGATGGCATGTTTCTTGGAGACTGGTTTGATGATAAAGTACTTGAAAGAAGAAGGGGACCTTTTATAGCTCTTTGGGGAGCTCTTGTGTCAACGTGATTTATTAACTGATGCATTCTAAACCATCAAATAAGAGATTTTAAGGTTGTCTTAGGATTTTTGTCAATTATGGAGGATGACATTTCTCACAGGTCAAAAAATTCAGCTGGGAAAAGTTGTCCAGTGTGTTGCTACCAGGGCGAAAACAGCATTGTTTCTCCTGGATCCGAGGTTCAACTATTGGCTGGATCCTCCTCTCCAGTACCCTGGAGTAGACCTTACTGGGATGGCTGAGGAGTGTGATCCCTGCTTAATTGGAGCACATCCTGCAATCCCCCTTTTTGAAGAGAGGGACGACCACCCTGGTGTGCGAATCCAGGGGTACAGTCCCAGACTGCCACACGACGCTGTAGAGACTTGTCAGCCAAGAAAGTCCTACAACATCCAGAGACTTAAGTTACTCAGGACGAATCTCATCCATCCCCAGGACCTTGACACCGGGAAGCTTTCTAACTACCTCAGTGACCTCAGCCTGGCTGATGGGCAAGGCCGCCTCTGAGTCTCCAGCCTCTTCCTCCTCCTCAGAAGACGTGACGATGGGATTGAGGAGATCTTCGAAGTACTCCTTCCACCGCCCGACAACATCCCTATTCGAGGTCAGCAGCTCCCCACCCGCATTGTAAACAGTGTTATTGAAGCACTGCTTCCCCTCCCAAGGCGGCGGACAGTTTGCCAGAACACTTTCGAGGCTGACCAATAGTCCTCCTACATGGCCTCTCTGAACTCCTCCCAGACCAGAGTATTTGCCTCTGTGACTGCATGGCTGCAGCATGCTTGGCCAGCAGGTACCTTTCAGCTGACTCTGGAGTCCCACTAGCTAACAAGGACCGGTAGGCCTCCTTCTTCCCTTACTTACCTAAATGGCATCTCTTAATTACGGGCACCACCAACAGATTCGGGGATTGCCACAACAAGTCACAGGAGACCTTACAGCCACAGGTGCGAACGGTCGCATTGACA